CTCTCCAAAAGTGCGCAACAACTCCATCACATTTAGCTGATCCACTTTCCTCATGGACTCTCCCCAACCTATATTTACACATGAAGATTGTTGCCTAGAGAAAAGCAGAAGTAATCTTCTAAAATCTAATAAACGCTCTTAAGAAGAAACCAAAACAAAAACCTCTCCAAAAGTGCGCAACAACTCCATCACATTTAGCTGATCCACTTTCCTCATGGACTCTCCCCAACCTATATTTACACATGAAGATTGTTGCCTAGAGAAAAGCAGAAGTAATCTTCTAAAATCTAATAAACGCTCTTAAGAAGACTTGATCACTTTCAAAAATGGCAAAAACTATCCTATTCTCCTCACTAACACTCAAGGTCATTGCCTACATCGTTCTTCTAGCCATCACCATTGGATGTGCCAGCTCAGCAAGAATTCTTGATGAGGTGGACCCACAGCCTGAAATCGCCAATCCCCAACCTACAACTGGCCCAATCGGCGACCAACTGCAGCTGAATCCCACCACCCCTCTCCCAAGTGGCCAAATCCCAGCCGTTACTCCCATCACCCCACCTGTCGACGACGACTCTGACGACAATGCTGACTCACCAATCCCCGAAGTCGGCGCAAGTGCTGGCGATGATGACTCACCACAACCCAACACCAACCAGCCAGGTGTTCCATCGCCTGGTGCCAGCGTGGCACCAATAGCTGGTCCCGCCACCACGTCCCCTGCTGGGTCGGGCCCACTCAACCCAACCGGTGATGTGACATCGGCAGGCGCGGCCCCAGGCCACCCGACTCTTTCTTTCTACATGCACGACATCATTGGCGGGTCCCACCCGACAGCCCGGATTGTGACGGGGCTTGTAGCCAGCACGATCTCCAACGTTCCCTTTACGAAGGCCAACAACAACATTTTCCCAGTCAGCGGCGCGGCCCCGTTGACCACAGCCAACGTCAACGGCATCCTCAACAACAACAGGAACAACCTGCCGTTCCTCGCCGGGCTCAACGGCCAAGGCGCGTCGGGCTTCACCAACACGCAGACCAACACCTTCATCCAGAACAGCGGCAACAACAACATCGTCGCCGGCGGCTCCGGGCAGCCATTCGTCACCGCCGGGCAGCTGCCATCCGGCTCCGCCACCCTGCAGAAGCTGATGTTCGGCTCGGTGACGGTGCTCGACGACGAATTAACCGAAGAGCACGAGCTGGGATCGGCCGTGATCGGTAGGGCTCAGGGGTTCTACCTGGCGAGCTCTCTGGACGGGAACAGCCACACGATGGTGATGACGGTGATGGTGCATGGAAACGACCATGACCATCACGTAGAGGATACCATCAGCTTGTTCGGTGTCCATAGGACTGCGACGCCGGTGTCCCACGTGGCGGTGATCGGAGGGACGGGGAAGTATGACAACGCGCAGGGTTACGCTACGGTGGAGTCGCTTCCCCACGTGGACCAGCACACCACGGACGGCGTGGATACGATCATGCATATCAACATTTACCTCTCTTGAGTAAATAATGTTTTTTTTTTAATCTTATATTTTCTTTGTGTTGTCATGTTCTAGATAAATAGTGGTTTATGTTTAATTGTTTGGAAATGTGGTGTTGTGGTCTTGTGGTATATCGAGTACTATTACAGTGTTCAGTACTCTTAATTTGATGCATCTTAAAGTACAATGTATGTGAATTTTAATGAAAATTAAGGTTCTTACATATCTGGATTGGTCCCGCTGATTGAAGTAGTAATGTGTTTAGTGTTCGAACGGAGTTTTTTTTTTTTTTTTTTTTTTTCTTCTTACTGTTCTTTTGAGATATCAAAGACCTCATTTTTTTCCCTGTAGAAACCATTTATTTATTCTTTATTTCTTTATTTATTATTGTTATCACGGGTTTTGTCACAAGTGTTAGAAGTAGAGAAGATGAAATAGAGTTAATGACAATTTGGTACTGAGTTTTTATTTTGCAATGTACTATAGATGACTCTAGTGTTTAGAGGCATCATATCTGTGTAAAAAATGGATTAATTAGTAAATTAAGCCGGTGCCGGTTAAAGTGACCAAAATCTTTTCAACTCCATGTATAAGTTCATTTCAGGGTACGTATGATTTTTTTTTAATATAGTGTGAGATTTATGGCTCTCACTTGATTAATATAAAATAAAATCATCAAATTTTGAAACTTCGTTTTAGGGTATTTATACTTTGTTTTTTATAATACGGTGTGAAATTTATGGCTCTCACTTTACTAATATAAAATAAAACCATCAGAATTTGAAATTTCAAAAAACACGCAAATACTCGCGCAACATACCTTAAGTGGTCCATATCAATATGATCATTTAAACACGATTAGAGAAAACAAGTAACAATTATTGTTAGTGTTACACCCAAAAACTGTTTGACTAATTAGTTGGATAATTTGAGTGGTATGGATAAGGACAAGAGTTTTAGGTCAACTAAGAGATTACATTTTGTTTCACCTACAACTAATGCTTAAAAACCCCAAAACTGGCATCTACAAGATACTTGAAGTTCCCAAAACTTCCTCTAATAGCAGACCTTATTGAATAATGTACAATAAGTTGATTTTTAGTTAGATGTGGGCCAAGGAATTTTGTAGACTTGATGAATAAGGTCAATAAATTGTATTCGTGTTTTTCAGCTACTGCAGATATGATACATTACCTGGCCAACTAAAATGAGTGCCTTCCACCAAAATATCAGACAAATAAATAAGTTTTATGCAAAGATTAAGAGTCCATACAAACATCATTAAAATATACCTGATTTTCACTAGTGTATATAGGAAACCTCTTCACTCTATCAAAAAATTTCCCAGTGTCTATACACATCTTTTCTTATGAGCATGAGCAAAATATCCATGATCTTCACTAAGAGGAAAAAAAAAATCATCACTCTATCAAACTTTGGAACTCTTCACTCTAACAAACTTTAAGCCTCTTTCACTCTATCAAACTTACTCACTTGACCAAAACTTTGCAATGTCTGTACACGTCTTCCCCCACCCCCTAACTGGGGCTTGTTCACAAGAATGTTGTGCAGAAAAAGAATACAAAAGAAAAAAGGACTGTGTTCAAGAACTCTTCACGCTAAAAAAAAAACTCTGCCATGAGCTCATCAAACAACAATCTCTCTATTTCCGTACCAATAGCATCAATCTCGTCTCCTAAATCTAACTTTCCTAATTCACTTTCTAGCAGTGTCTCTGCCGAGCTCTTGCAACATTCCTTTTCTTGGCTAACAAGCAACCTCCAGAGATCTTCCTGAATCATCTCCTCGTCACGAACAGAGCTCAACCTTCTCGACACAGACTTTTTCCATGCAGGTACACCGATGCACGGAAGGATAATCTCCATCAACCCTTCATTCATGCGGTCAAACAGAAGTCTTCTCTCCGACCTCTTCCAAGACATCTGTTCACCGTACTTCTTCTCTAAGGTCTCAAAGACCGAAAGGCTTATTGGGCAATCCAGAGAGTGCCAGGTACCGAATTCCTCCAAATTCCAACAGTGAAAACTCGCCTCTGCTAACACGTCAACAAGGTATGAGAAGTTTCTACTTTCTTCGACTATGAAGATTTTCATAGTCACTTCATCCCCTTTTGAGTGGCCTGCAGATTTTTCCTCGCTTTCATCATCACTTGATACAGCCATTCCAGATCCATCTGAGTATGTTTCTGAGTCCTCTGATTTTAGAAGTTCAAGATGTCTTCTTAAGTCTAGCGCCAGAGAAAAAACAAAGCTATTTAAGAATGGGGATTTAGAAGACAAGCCACTGTTAGAAGGCAGAGCCTATTCCAGTTACTTACCACAGATGTCACCCTTTACCATTCCCAAGAACTCGGAGCTAATTATAGCCTCTTCGCTAAATGGTGGTTCCAGAACTGATGTTGGAGTAGGCTGATAAGCCTCTTCCAAACTCACCAGAGAATCCAGCTCCGTGCCAGAGCAGCGCGAGAAATCAGAACTTTCTTCATGAAATCCAATTGGTTTGTCCTGCAATTTTTACAGTTTTGAAGATGCCATATTATAGGGAAAGCGGATATATATTTAAGAAACTAAAAATTTTTCTTAGAAAGTAATCATCATATCAATAACCTAAAACGGCTTTTTAAAACTAAGGAGTAGCATGCTAAAAAGGTTTTTTCAACTAGAAGTCAAAGAAACTCCTGTTAAAACGAATATCCAGATGGCATTTAAAAACTACATATATACCAAAATTCGAAAGAAATCGACAGCTGAATTAACAAAATTATATTGTCGTTCATTTCACCGATTTAAATTTTGTTAAAATAAAAAGTTCTTATAAATAGTCACATTTAATTTTTTTATTACAATAAAAATTTTTTAAATAAAGTGACATCTCAATTCGAATTAAAAACTTAAATTTATGATATTCGTAAGAAATTGAACCAACCCCCTGCGGGAAAAGAGAAGTCATACGAAGGCAACTAAATGACTTTTAACTGCTTCTGAAAAGGTCAAGAAAAAATAGTAACCAATGGCAGAAATGCGGACCAACAGAAATAATCACAAAAATGATTGTCTACGCATATATACGAAGGGTCACCTAGCTTCCTCATAAGCTGATAAAAAAGGGGTCCTAACATCCTAAATAATATCCATTTTGAAAGGGCTTTAAGCATCCTTCTGTAACAAAAACTAAAACAACAACAAACCTGTGAAAGAGAAGTATCTGTAGCACAGCTAGAAAAATCGTCGTCTTCCCCTATTTGCTCATACTCGGATTTTACAGAGGGCTTGACTGCAAATTTATTCTCTGCATCCACTATCACATCTGCAACTTTCGTAAGCATCACATTCTGCTTAAACATATTGCCATCATCAAGCTTGTGCTTCATCTTATCTTTCCTCACCCATGTCTCAAGTAACGCGTTACGATCTTCCATATCAGAGCAGGAACTTACTGAATCCAGGCAAGGTAGAAATTTATATTTCTCGGAATTAAGTTTCAAGTCTTTCGCTTCCGAACCCTCCTGATCAATATTGTGTTTCCTAAGTTTACACCTTGCCCAGTTAAGAGAATCCGCTGACCTCAAATACAATTTACTGCGAAAAGCTTCATATTTCGATTGTTGTTTTGAGAACTTACTGAGGTCCAGATTTTTCAGGCCATGCCTACGACTATTAGGCTTGCGATTTTTTGGTCTCGAATCGTGATTTTGTATCACAAACAATTCATTCAGGGAACTGCCTTTTTTGCTCATTGGATACCTTTCAGAGAGCTGCTTCTGGAACGTGTGGGAATTGTTCGAGGAAGCGGCGGATTGGCATTGCTTTGTCAGGTCAGAAGAACAAATAGGAGGTGTCGATAACCCAGATTTTATGGTCAAGGCGTTACCATTAGAACACGGTAACGAGAAATATCTTCCAGAAAAACCAGACTCAATAGGCATTGGTTTCAGAACAACAATTCTTCTATCTGGAGAGCCTGCTTCATCTTGTGTCCCCAACTGAGATCTCGAGAAATCATAGAAACGAAGACCAAATTCTTCTTGATGAGAACCTGTAACTGTGCTGCTATTCTCAAGTATTTGACGCGGTCGAAGATATCCGAGTTCAGTTTTAGTACTCTTTCGTTTCCTGTGAGTATCAACATTTCTACGAATAGAAGTACTATTTTTGCTTGTGAGGGGAATGGAAGCTTGCAGACCATGAGTAGGCTTGGATAACAAAGAGTTTCTGTATGGGATATATGTCTGAAAATGACCATTCTTCGAATCAACTAATTCTAAAGAATCTTGGAAATTTTTTGGAGTTTGAGGCTTTTCATTCACTAAACGGTTTCTGGGGGTGATGCTATTCTTCCCCATAGCATGTTCGTCTTCCTTCAATGTTTTAACCACTTGGCAAACATCCTTAATTTGTTTCTTCTCTTCAAGTGTCTTCCTAAGCGAGTGCTTCTTCCCGACCCCAATCGAAGCAACTCTCCACAGATAATTCTCAGAAAGCACTCTTTGAGGCTTCTGGACAGCCTCCTGAGGTTGTGGAAGTTCATCAAGACGCATTAGTCTTGCCATCACACTTGGAGGTGTACTTTGTTTGGATTCCATTTCTGTAAAACAATGCCTCGCACTACACTAGATAAATAGCCCCACTCAAACTCGAGTAATTTCTACAAAAAGACAGGATTCATCTGCACCAAATTCAGATAAAGAAAAGGTTTCATGAATAAATTTAAGGAATATAACTCATTTTTCCAATTATTGCTACCATTATATATTCTCTGTCTCTCTCTCTCTTTTCCTTTTGGGGTCTGGTTACTTTATCAGCCCTGAGCCTCTAAATATCTAACAACTTATCAAAATCACGAATCCCAATTGGAAAATAGTAACTTTTACTTACCCAATTGTCCTCTGCAGTTCTACAACAACTCCAAACATCTGATACTAAAATTGGAGCCGCTCCGAGTTCCTAAACCTCGGATTCTGGAAATCAAAGCAAAGTTCAATAAATACACCAAGAGACTATATAGAAATCCAAATCAAATAATTAAGAAACAGAAATAGAAAACACGACAAAGACCGTATTAGATGCCTAACAAAATGATAAAGATGTGAAAAGAGAAGAAAAGACTAACTACAGAAAAATCAACCAAAAGAATTAAAAATTGAAAGACATAAAAACAAAAAGAAAAAGCAGGGGAACCTCATTTAAGAAGCTAAAGCTCATATTCCCATAAGAGCAAAGGAAAAAAGTTACTAGAAACAAGAAAAAACAGACCAAAATTCTGAAACAAAGACCTTCTTTCTGGCAGGCAATCATTGGAAAAATAAAGTGAACCTCGCGCCAAAGCATGTTAAAGTTAATAAATTCAATAACATCATTGCAAAAGGACAATATTCAGACTGTAAAAAATTATACCAAAAAATAATAAAATCTCCAACAACCTCGATTTCATTGAAACCATGAACACAACCATTAAAAGAAGCAAAAACCCATCTTTCTTTGACAAAACAAAAAAAAGAAGCAAAAATCGAACAGAAACTATATTCTAAGCTTCAAAATTCCATGTACCACCAATAAAAAAGAAAACCCAGGTGGGAATTTCAAAAGGAATTAGAGAGAAAAACTTGCCTTCTTCAGCGGCTCCTCCTATCAGAGCATTGATTGCTCACCGGGAATTCAAAATAATCTTTATCGAATCGGGTCAGTCAGGACATTAATGACAAATGTGAGTAATTGACGTAAAATTATTGAATAATTGTTGTTCTTTTTTCTTTTCTGGGTCTTGATTATAAAAAGCGTTTAAGATAATAACACCCCAGACAAGTTGTAAATCTCGGGTCAAACGGATTTTTAACCGTAGTGGGTTAAGTCAACGATAATGAAATCCTCTCTTTTTTTCTTTTAGATTTTTTGGGCAGGATCTAGAAAACGAACTACCGGTTACCAGAAACTGATTCAATAGTTAAAACAACAGGGAGGTTCTTTAGTACACTAATTGTTAAATTTTTTTAATTATTAAATTTATATATTTTTTAATTTTTACGTTATTTTATATAAATTAATTCATAAAAAATATGATTTATTAATACGTTAAAGTACCGAAAAAGATATTAAAAAAAATTTGTTACTATTAGAAGATTTACCATGGAGGGATTTTTTTTCCCTTCACGCTTACTTAACATGAAAATGGTCGGCAAGAAAACCCAGAAAATGGGATTTGAGAATTTTTTTGCTAATCATGGGATTTGAGAATTTTTTACCGGTTTAGGATTTGAAATTTGAAAAGAATCGATATTAGAGACGTGTTGAAATGAAAACAATGGGAAATTATTTATAATAATGATTAACGTGTGACAATAGGGCTATAATGGTGACGTTGCTTCGGTTTTTTTTTTATTTTTAATGAGAAATTTGTTTTGCTTTTTGGTTGGCGGATCTGTCTTTTTCTGGCAAAATATGCGCGAAATTGTTGTCTTTCTAGCCAAACTGGCGCCAACAGGATATTGTTCTTTAATTTACATGAAATTATAGTACTTCCAAGTATTTGGTTTCTTAAATGTGAAGAAAATTTCCAAGTGATGTGGACTTGGATGTAGCAAATTGAGGGGTGGAAATAGGGGAATTGGACGTAGCATCATAGCAATTAGCATTCGGGATGTCCCACTTTATTGTATTGGTAGAAGGATGTCCCCCTTTTATTGCTAAACAATTTTGGTGGGCACTTGCTAATTAGGGTTACATGTCATTTATTTATTTATTTATTTTTGGTAATTTTAGGGTAAGCAATTTAGGTCCACCTTTACTTGAGCGATGTCTTGTAACCTCAACACGAGCATTTAACGATGTCAAATGGGACGTGTTGTGTTTTGCCTTTCTCATTTATTATAGATTTAATAGTGTTGCATTTGTATTCGTGCCGGTCTAATTAGGGTTCGTTTGGTTGGAGGATTCAAACTATGTGATTCGAATCATTTTCGATTTACGTGTATTTTTTATGAGAGAAAATACTGTAGCGAACCATGAATCATGATTCGAATCAGGGAACGAATCCCTCTACCAATAATCGTATTAAGTTGTATTGAGTTTGTTTGTGATTTATGACATCACGTGCAACATTGTACGCATTTATATTCATGTTGTGGTATTGCAATGCTTGTCCTTTATTCATACCTTTTTATCGTGCCCCAATATAAAATTATGAATAATCAAGACAAATAAGTATTTAACATAATTAAAACCATTAAATTTTAACAAAAGAAGCATATTGTATTATAGGTGTTAATCTACTCTGTTTTGCATGTATCAAGAATTATTAATAATTAATACATTAACAAAAACATGTAAGTTAGAAGGTAAGTCGACTGCTACCCTGTCAATGGCCCAGATTCCACTATTAAGTAATAATTGCATAACACTTATGATTGTAATGTCTCATTTAAACTATTCTATGATGAGATTGGGATAAAGCTGAAGATTTTCTAATGTGGATCATATATTTCCAAATAAAGTTTAAGTCTAATTAGTCCAAGTTGTCTCTTAAAAGCTTCAGTGTTGGGAAGTGGGCTTAAATTAACACTTCAAGACTTTCTGCATTTAATCCAAGTTGAGTATCTTAAAAGTTTACCTATAGGCACCAATACAAAGTGTGATATTAGAGATAAAAATGCAGGGAAAGGAAAGAATATCAGCCCAGTTCAGTCTTTTAAAGCTTGATGAGTTAGGGCATTGTTTGATCTGAACTTTTATAGAATAAATTTTAAAAATAAAAATAAAAAAACACTTTAGACCTGCCCGGCCTCAAAATGTTTTGAAAAAAAAAAAACCAGAACTACCACTTAAAATGGTAAAATATATATTATTTATGACACTCTATAAAAAATAAACAATTGTTATTCAGTTAATAAAAAGAAAAGAAAAGACATTTATGACACATAATTATTTAAAATGACATATACATTAGATTTATACAAAATTATAAGAAACCATGTACTTTTTTCAAATACTTTTTGGACCTAAACTACCGCCCCGACCCAAACACTAAATCATATGAAGGGTCAGGTCAAGATTGAGTCAATAGTAATAAGCTTTAAGCTGGCCATTTGGTTATACCCAAACTTATAATTCTATGTAATATAAGAAATTTAAACTTAAGAACCTTATGTTTCCATGTCTTGTTCATTTTCAATTCTCTTCAAATATGTTCTTATTTGGTATTTACATTTGTTCTGATCATTTGGTGTTGTTTTATTTATTCATTTATATTTTTAAACGAAGAATTGTTTTTAACTAAATAAAATATACAAATATCAATGCAAATGTTCTTGTGAGACATAAGACGAAACCTTCAATTGAGACCAGAGTAAAATCGGCTCTTCATTGTCACTACTAGAGTAAAATCGGTTTCTGCTGCTTCAATGTGTGCTACATTTGACAAGGGGCTAAAGTTGTGATGGTAATGTTTCTTCTCAACCGTTTGACTGAAATTGAATGATGGTTGAGTTTGCTAAAAGACCTTCATACACACGACTTTGGGCCTATTTAGTTCGGTTCGAGTTGATATTATAATTTTTGGGTAGAACTCATCCTCAAAAGTTAGCTTTTGGGGTTGAGTTCTACCCAAGAGTTATAACAATTGGTATCAGAGCATGTCCCTCCTCAGGCCCACGTTGCGGAATAGGCGATCTGGGGAGGGGTGACCTGGAAAGGCCAGAGTGGGCCGCTGTAGACATCGATGTCGGAAGCGTGTTGGTGTGTTAAGATCCTAGTTGAGTCCCACATTCCTAAAGTATGGGCTTAGTATGTGGGTTTATAACCACTTGGGCACCATCTCCCTACAAGCTAGCTTTTGGGGATGAGTTCATGAACTCATCCCCAAAAGCTAGCTTGTAGGGAGAGGGTGCTCAAGTAGTTATAAACCCACATGCTAAGCCTATAGCAATGTGGGATTCAACTAGGATCGTAACATACCACCACGCTTTCGACACTGACGTCCACGGCGGCCCACTCTAGATGAGTTCTACCCAAGGGTTATAACAATTGGTATCAGAGCATATCCCTCCTCAGGCCTACGTTGCGGAAGGGGTGACCTGGGGAGGGGGGGACCTGAAAAGGCCAGAGTGAGTCATCAATAGTGGGCCGCCATGGACGTTAGTCTCGGAAGCGTTGTGGTATATTATGATCCTGGTTGAGTCTCACATTGTTAAAGTATGGGCTTAACATGTGGGTTTATAACCACTTAGGCACCCTCTCCTTATAAGCTAGCTTTTGGGGATGAGTTTTACCCAAGAATTAGAATAAGAGCTTTTTATTATAGTAAAAAAGTTAAATATAATTATTTCTGAGAGCTTTTTACTGTAATAAAAAAAAATTAAATGTGATTATTTCTTAGAGTTTTTTACAATAACGAAACTCGAATTCTAAATTCAAACATGTGAAATGAATTGGGCGGATTGTAATACTCCTGTTGAATCCAATCCCATCTCCGATTCTGTAATCCAAATTACTAGAATTCTCTATCCAAGTAGTCGTCAAAAGTTGACCATTTAGCTCCAAGCATTAGTCGGAAAATGAAAGGTGAATCTGAATATGTCACACGCAAAATCAAGATATGAATATATAATTGACACAACAACCAGTCAATTTATAGAATCATATAAAGTTGTACTCTTACTACCGAATCGTATAAAGTTGTGTCATTACTTTAGAAAAAGTTGAAAATACCTCTAAATGAAAATACCTTTCATAACGTTGGTGGGTTTCTTAATTCATGTGGAATGGACCACCATGTCACTCAACCTTCGTGGCCACTTTAGAAGATTCTATTTATGACATATAGCAATGGTAAAATTATTTATATATATATATATATATATAAAAGCAATGGTAAAATTTACGGCAATGAGTTCCATTATGCACATGAAGTGTTATGTACTTGTTCTAATTGTCTCATGCAATCCGGGGAAGAAAGGGTTAATTATTTTAAGAAATTTATATGTGATGCCATATACGATAGAGCCTATTTTTAGATGTAATATTATACTAAAATTAAAAAATATATTTAAATTGAACAAATACTTAATGAAATTTAGACAGTTTAAAAGGGTACAATTATTTTATTCGTGAAAAAGAAGAAGAAAACCATTTCATATATATATTCAAATCAATCCACTGCGGTTTTCTCGCACTTTCTTACTTATTAAAAATAGAATAATATTTGATAACTATTTTAATCGCTCTTATTGATCTTAATAACGAGTAATTGTTGCTAAAATGTCCAACCAACGGAATTTGAATCAACATTGATGAT